CCTGTTCTTAGGGTACAATTTCCCCTTCAGAACTGTGGTCTAAAAATCTTTTCTAGGAGCATAAGGGTGATGGTCCATCAATCATATAACCACTTCCATGCTGGTGGAGTGCATAGTCCCTGCCTAAAAGAGATTTTTGCACAAGATTCTCCCTGTTGGTTGTGGAGGAGGTGATGGATTTCCAGTTGCAGGAGTTGACTGAAATCCCTGTGTAATAGGGAGTTACATATCCTAGAAGATACAAACTTTACAAGATTAAAATACAAGATTGAAGTAAAAGTAACAAGATTATGACTATTGATGACTTCAGACACGACGAAAGCCAGGAGAACCATGATCATGTCTGTTCTAGGAGATTCCTCTCTATGGCTTCCTTTCAGAGGTATGACCCCTTGAATTGTAAACCACACTGATGGTAGAATAGATTAAAAGGGAGTGAATATAAGATTATAACCACTGAATACCAAAAGTGTCAGATGAAAAATAATGAAACAGAGGATTGAGTAAGGTTACTGTTACTGATTTCGATAAATTTACACCAATAGATTTACAGAAATAGAGCCTATCTTGAGGGGTCGCTGGAGAGATGGTTCAGTGGTTAAGAGCACTTCCAGAGGACCAAGGTTCAATTCTCAGGTTCAAGCTCATAATCATCTGTACCACCTGTTCCAGGGATCTGACACCCTCTTCTGGCTTCCAAGGGCACTGCCCTCAAATGGCGCACATCCCTCCATGTGGGCAAAACACCTATACACATACATAAGATTAAAATTTAAAGACTAATAAAGAGAATCTACCTTAGTATCATAGCTGGAGTGGTTGCGATTGTCCTATTTCATATGTCAGTCGTCCAAACACCGGATTTAAAAGGAAGGCCTGTACACAGCCTGAATTATTGTCTTTTTCAAAGTTTAGTGTTTTTGTTTCATACTGTGACTATACTTCACTGCTAGGTGTTTAAGACCAGGTAGATAACCAAAAAAATCAATCTTCTTTTTCTGTTAATAACAGTTGATGGTATGGTCCTCAGGGGTTGCTTAGAACTGGGAGGAGCTACGGCTCCTTCAGTCCTTCCTTGACCAGTTGTGCTCTCTGCTGGGACAAGTCGGGGTCTGGCTAACCATGCTGATTCTTTAGGAAGTATAGGGAACATGCCTGTCTGTGTTGACTTTCTTCTTTGCAGAATTTGTCCTGGTTAGGGTCCACTGTTTGGGTCTCCTTGGCTTCTCTGATCAGGAAGATGGGTGACTTACACAGAGGTGCAGGACATTTGAGAGATGCCCAGTAGTTCTCTGGCATCTAGTTTACCTTGGAGGGAAAGAGCCCAAACACCGGCCCCTGAAGTCCGGCTCCCCTAGTCCCTCCGTCCACAGTCTTGGGCCACCAATTGCAGTTACTGAACAATTGCACCAGTATTCAAAAACAAGCAATGCTTAAAGTTTCGCTTCACAGAAATAGGTCAATAAACCTGACTTAAGACCCAGCTTTTAATTAAGAGCTTGACATACTTAGTAGAAATCACAAGCAATTATCTTGATAAAACATAAACGCCTTGTTTTTAAGCATATTAATTACCTAAGGAAAGACAAAGGCAGAGGGCTAAGTCAATGTCCTGGTTTTAGATTCTAGCAACAGCAGAGCTCAGCTGAGGCCACTGTCCACAAGTGAGGCTCTTACCTTGGAGCCAGAACCACCAAATCCCGAGGACAGTTTATTTTTTTCAAGCAATGGGGATTTTTAAAGATGACTTGTAGAATCAGAGCTGAGACAATGATCAAACAAATAATGACTAAGGTTGCTTATGTAACCTTTTGTTATAAAACTTTAATTACACATGAACCAATGAAAATTTGGGCTAACCTGGCAGTTTTGTCTAACATAACCATTAACTTATAAGACAACTTGGTACCATGTAAATATAAAAACACAAGCATGTGCAAACAATATGTATGCACAGTCATATATAAAAGTAGACTTAAAAAATACCAAATATTTTATTACATCACTTATCAATTTTAAGTTAGACTATTGGTCAGATAAAAACTTTAATAGCATTAGCAATTTCTAAGTCAAAAGGACTAGTGAGTAGGAACTGACAGCTTGGCTTTTGTAGGAGTTGTCCCGGTCTAGTAGGAATTGGACAAAAATCTTGAAAAACTTGAAAGAAGAGCACAGTAGATAGACTACAGTTTTTAATATCTAATTTAATATCTAATATTTAATTTTAACATTATAACTATAAGTGAATACTTATCTCAGAAATGTGAAATATTAACTACTATTATTATTATCCCAATACTTAATAATATTTGTTTTTATTATATCCAGGCTAAACTTACCTGGATTTTAAATCTTGTTGATATTGAATCTCTTGTAATCCTCACCATGTAAAGGAAATTTGGCATAGAGACAGTTAGCAAACATACATCATTTTATACATAGTACAGCCTTAGTAAGCATCCTACATTTAACATTGCATAGTAAGACTATTCCTGAAAAAGAAACCCATAGCAATTAGTCCAATAAGGACCTATAATGTACATCACCCACAGTTAGCCCAACCAACATAGAACCTTTTTATATCCTTTTAGTTTCTCTTGTTCATGACTATTAGAGAAATGAAATAAAATTAATAATTTTAAAAAGCTTTTTTGGAAAAAATCATTATGAAAATATCTATATTCAATGTTAAATTTTATAACCTAACAAAATGTTTATCTTACAATGCCAATGAATGTTGTTTTATGTAAGCAAAAGATTTTATGAAACATTTAATAGAACCAGCTTTCCTGTCTCAATAGGCTTTAAGAAGGTAAATCAGGTAAATGAGCACTTTGGTTTATAAGTACATACTTAGAAGGCCTTTAAATATATACTCAAAACTCATCCACACACATGAACACACAGATCAAGGCATAAAAAATAATAATTTCAGTACACAGAAAAAAAATTAAGTGGCTACTGGTTTGTTACTCAGATATTTTGGGTGAATTATATGGGAAGACTAAATTCTGTTCTGTGCTGTCCCAACATAGGCATACGAGCAGTTACATAAAAACACATGTGAACATTCAGTTACATCCAAGAGGTAAAAAGGTTGCCGTCTCTGTATTTGGAGGGAATGAGGTAGCTCTTGGGAGATCTGTAAGGCTACTTTATATCTGCCCGAGTGTCTTGTACACAATCAGTCCTGTAAGGTGGCCAGGGGTGGGTTCTCCCATTCATGGCTGTTTGACATGGAGAAGGCAGTGTTTAACAGCTGAGTCTGTGGAGCCTGAAGTTCTTGTACTGCTGAAACTTCTTGGGCTAACATAGTTATTGGGTTTGTAGGTTTTGAGAATAGTCTTTAACAATGAGAACAAGAGCAGTAGGTTTGGCATGAAGAAAAAGTTTTATTCATCTGGGAAGACGTTAGGAAGGCAGGATCCTGTTGTGAAATAAAGGGAGAGAATTGGGGTTTCTGGACATCCCCATGAGACAAGCGAGACTCAAGACAGGAGACAGGTAAGCACTGACAGTCTACTTGCCCAGTTGTGGGAGCCCACAAAGGTTCCTAGTGAAATCTGAGCTTGCTTTACCCAATAGAGCAGCATTAGAGGAGTGCTTGACCATGTGTGTGGTTACCAGGTGATTGGAAGGGTCTACACTTGGCTAAGCTAGGGGAAGGTCTTTCCTCCACCCCTTGGCATTCCTATAAATAGTCCTTTAGAAGAGACAGTAGGGGCTGGTGGATAAGGATCCAGGCCCTCCTGAGGCTATCCTGTGTTTCTGTCTTTTTCTTTCTCCTCTACACTTCTCTCTAAATCTCTTATCCCTTTCTCCTCAAGAGGACCCTGGGTTAAATAAATGTGGGGGCTGGTCTCCCACATCCCATGCTTCTTTGGAGGACCCCAAAGACACATTCTAGCTTTTCACATTGCAGAAAGTCAGCAATTGAAAAGGGACTGTATGGGGCTGGAGAGATGGCTCAGTGGTTAAGAGCATTGGCTGCTGTTCCAGAGGACCTGGGTTCAATTCCTAGCACCCACGTGGCAGTTCATAATTGTCTGTAACTCCAGTTCCAGGGAATCTGACACCCTCATAGAGACATACATCCAGGCAAAACACCAATGCATATAAAATAAAAATAAATAATTTTTTTTAAAAAAGGGACTGTAGATACTAATTCTTTCTTAGGATCCAGGGCTTTTTCTTAGAGGAAATGTTGTGTACGTAACTGTAACAATGACAGGAAGCTTTGGGCTTAGTGTCCTTTACCTGTTGTTTTCTTTATAGTTACTTAGACCAGACCATTGGAGCATTACCCTTCCTGTCTTCAGTTTCTACCCTCATTCTTGGAGAGTCACTGAGTACAGCCACAAAAGGATTGGGTATACTAGTTTGCATTCCAAATTCCCCTGAGCTTACACTTCCCTCAGTGGGGTTTAAACAACTGCAACATGTGTCCCCCCAACCCTGGGATTAAATCTGGAAACATTTGTACAATCCCTGCTAGAAAAATATCTGAGCTGTTTTTCTCCACCTCAGTGGAAATAAAGTCTCTATTCTAAGAAGTTCTTTTATTGAGTTGGGTCTCACTATGTAGCCTAAGCTAGCCTGAAACTCACTATGTAGACCAGGCTGGCCTGGAACTCACAAAGGTCTCCTTGCCTCCAACCCTCAAGTGCTGGGATTAAAGGTGTCAGCCACCATGCCAAGCTATCCTAAGAAGTTAAAAAAAAAAATGACAATAACCAAAATGCAATCCTTGAACTGGGAGGCTGTCGGTTTTAGACAAGAGACTATTTAGTTACACAAATGGCCTTGGCCAATTTATGTTTAAAATGGCCACCACACAAATTAAAAGCACAAGTGGGTGGATTCTTTTTCATTTGGATCTAATGCTGTAGTGACACACTCTATGCCCTGGGGAATTATCTCTGAGCTCATGGGGACACGGCTGTCCACAGTAAGTGACCAGCAAAGAACTGAGAGCAGTAGGGACAAAATAAAGCAGAAGTAACTAAAACATGGAATTACTTCATTACAAGTCCAGATCAGGGAAAAAACCCATGTCTTTAGCCTGACTTGAGTCTTTACCGTTCATGAAGGGGATTTAGCCTTCATGCAGAGGAACCAGACAGCTTTTTTTTGTTGTTGTTTAAGTCTTTGCTGCTGTGATATTTTGCTCTTTATTCTTTGGGTCCATTGGTGTGGGAACTCAGACTTCAAACCCTTGTCCCTATGAGGGATTGTCCCTGTAGAGAAAAGAAACACCAGGGTGCTCAGAGGAATGTATCAGCATTCAAACCTGTGGGCAGGAATATCCTACAGGGAACAGAGTCCACATTCGATTTAATCTTCCCTTCCCCCCACCCCCTGGAATCTTCAGGCAGGGACATGTTGGTCTCTAGAGAAGTTATCTCAGGTGAAGACAGAGTGGAAAAGAACCGCCATGAAGTCCATCTATGGGGAGTCCTGTCTGATTGGATCCCATTTTCATGAACTTGTTAAGAAGTTTTAAGTAAAACAAACAAACAAACAAACAAACAAACAAACAGAAGAGGAGACTAGGGTGGGTAACTTAATGTTACTGGCAAGGAAAGTTCTAGAGTGAGGTGAGAAGTCATAGAGAGTGGGTGCGGGAAATCGTGTTTTCCCTGACAGAAGTTGATTCTAAACTAAGTATTTCCCTGCAAGAAAGGCAGGGAAACATTTTTACATGTCTATCATTTGTCCTTAGAGGACTTATCTGAGGAGTGTCTGATTGGATCTCTTGTTTTCATGAACTTGGTTTAAGTAAAGAAAAACAAAAACAAACACAAACAAAAAAACGAGAGAAGACTGAGATGTGTAACTTAGTGTTACTGGCAAGGAAAATTCTAGAGTGAGGTGATCCCCTGGGGACTCAGCAGCATTGGAGAGCTTAGGCAGTTTGTGTGAGCATAATGTTGTCCACCATAAGGGCATGATGCCCCATGCAATGTGTGCATCTCATAGATTAAATGTACACAATCACCTAGCCTCCCAATCTTAACTCTGAGATTAGCAGTTGCTACCAACACATGCATGTCTCAGAGGTTCTGGGTACATTCTTGGGCCCCCAGCTACAGGGTGTTCTAAGGCAGGGGGAGGAAAGGAAAGTGAGAGAATGTGAATCTTGTTTCCCTAAACCATGATTAATGCACTGGTGGAAACCCATCCCTCATCTCCAAGTCCTTGAAGAAGAGGGAATAGTAGTACCCTTGTTCAGAGAGAAGAAAGTTCAGAAGCATCCTGTGCTTGTCTTTTATCTCCTGGCTGGCTGAGCCATGATGCCGCTGTTCGTCTCTTTGAAACGAATTACATAGGGTCACATGGGTAGTTACAGAACAAGAGATAGCTTATTACAGGAGACACAGATGAGCTTGGAAGCGTGGCAGTCCTGGCCTGTGGCCTGGCACCAAGAGGAAGAATGGGAAGGAAAGGGACTATGTGACCATTTGGGACTCATTTGCATAGGATCCACCTCTCCCAGTTTCATACAATGTGTACTTTTTTCTAGCATGCTCCCTTTGTTGAATGAAGCCCAGGTAGGCTGAGGGATTCCAGTCTCTCTCCAGCCTACTTTCACATGTTAATTGTGATGGTTCATTTCAGTCTATGTTTCTCTGTCACACTCACAGACTGCACTGGGAGGTGGAGGCTGTAGGGAGGTGTTAAGGTGAAATGAGGTCATAAGAATGGATTCGGCTACCACAGAACCTAGGCATGGGAAGAGCCACTAAAGCACATATACACAGAAGGGTGACCCCACTGAGGCCTCAAGAAAAGCCAACACTCAGGTCATAGATAGCCAGCCTCATGGCAACGGGAAAGTGGATGCTAAGCTGCCGGGCTGGCGTGCTCAGTGTGGCAGGCCTCACCGCAAGAGGTGGTGACAATGACCGTGACCATGACTCTAGGGGAAGCTACAGGAGGCTTCTCTGGGACTTAGGCTGGGAGTACCATCTGGGTTCCCTGTTCCTGGTCTAACCTGTGGGCAATGGAAGAGGAGCTTCTTGTATAAAAGCCCTCTGTTTGTTCCTCTCTTCTCCCAAGTGAGGGCAACTACGCACACTACTTAGGTAGTGTGCTACGGTCTTGTAGCCATGGTCTTGTAGCCAGGAAACCAAGCATCTAGTGTCCCTGCCTCTCTGGAGACTCTGGCAAAGGCATGGTGACTGGGAAATGGCAGAAAAAGCACTGGACCACAAGCTAAGTGACCGCGTGCTACAAGGTCAGCACCAGCTGTGTTCCAGACTGGCATCTGTCCACTGTGTCTGACCCAACAGACCCTTGGTCCCCAGAGTGAAGGGGGTGTGTGAGCATATGCAAGCCTGTCTGTGCCAAATGTGCATGTGTCTTCCCACAAGGAGGGTAACATGTCCCCAGCCTGGTCCTCTGAGCCCCAGGGGAGCTGTTTTCCCCAGGAATTAGGCTGGGCTCAGCAGGGAATAACCAATTTTCTGTGTTTATTTGTTTCTTATACAAGAAGGCTTCTGTTTGGTTCTAATGAGTAGCTTTTCCTAAAGAGAAGCTGTAATAGCAGCAGAAACGTAAGTAGATTCTGTAAACTTGTAATCATACGTGTCAAACACACTGTGGTATTTTTCCCTGTAAAATAGAAACGGTGAGAAGTCATAGAGAGTGGGTGCGGGAAACCGTGTTTTCCCTGACAGAAGTTAATTCTAAACTAAGTATTCCCCCGCAAGAAAGGCAGGGAAACATTTTTACATGTCTATCATTTGTCCTTAGAGGACTCAAAACAAATATGTTTCTTAGTACTCGACACCAACATTATTCCAGTGGCCTCAGGCTATGTGCTGTTTTTCTAGGTGGTGGAGCTAGGGGATAAGAAAACTGCACTGCTGTACTGTATTGGAGGAACACGTCCTGTGGGCTAATCAGAACCCGCAGAAAAGCCTCGGTCCAGAGCAGTGGGAGGACAGGCAGTCCAGGGGTCCAGAGCTATGGGCGGACAGGCAGTCGAGGGGTCCAGAGCTATGGACGGACAGACAGTCGAGGGGTCCAGAGCTATGGACGGACAGGCAGTCGAGGGGTCCAGAGCTGTGGACGGACAGGCAGTCGAGGGGTCCAGAGCTGTGGACGG